GTTGCTATAGCTAAAGTGCATGAAAAATTCTAGTCCTAATTCCTAATTCAGAAACATTTTAATTCAACACCAAAAGGAAAGTCTGCATGATGAGTGGTATGATGCTATGCCATGACCACCACAATGTCGTTACAAGCAGCTTACCCATTTCCAGCAAAATCAAACCGAAAAGCATTAACTCCAACACTTCCTAGTGCAGCAGCAAGGTCGACCAAGATACTGTCGTCCTGGAAGCGATTACAGAGTAAGATGGCCATACAAAGATTGTGAACAAAAATAGTGAAGGTTCTTGGATAAATGGACATATGGATAGTACAGACTTGCCTTTGTAGCTCTGAATCCATGACAAAGTATCACAAGTTCCTTCGAGCATGCTTCATGTAATAAACCAACAAGCTTCTCCCCAAGTTTGTTCGAAATTAGAACTCTTTGTCCACAAGCCACTGTAACCCATAAATTCCGATCAAGTGTCATAAAGTATAAATTTATGTCTTTGCAATGAAATGAGTAAGGCAAGAAGATGCATATGATCCATATTATGATTGTCAGTAGATAATCCGCAAAATTATGTTGCAAACTTACAGGTGACCAACTTTGATACAAATGTTCAACTGAGTGAACTATAACTAGACAAGCTAAAGCCTTACAACAGCTCTCCACAAAATTTTCGAACCGGTGAGTAACCATTTCACATGATGGTCAGACTAAATCCACTGCACAACCTCACATTTTCTCAAGGAGATCCAACTAGACCCGGATACCTGGCTAAATCACCACATAAACGTTTGGCTGCAAGCCAAGATAGCAACCCGAAAGGCTAGAATTAATCATGTAAACTCCGAATTTTGTACTGAGCGTGTGGAATTTTCCGATCTCATGCTGCATCATCCCGGTCGAAAGAAACCTAGCTGCTGGAGACCAGCACAGGAAGGATCCGCCCAAAACTCTATTCAAAGCGAGCGGGGGCGGGAGGGTGGGGGCTGCGGACGGCGCACCTGGGGACTGCGGCGATTTCTCCGGCGGCATGGACAGGCAGGGGGGCCGGGCGCCGGCTAGGCCGGAGTCGAGCTGGACACTGAGCTTCCGAGCCTTTTTTTTTTTTGAGCCAACTGAGCTTCCCCCGAGCGTGCTTGCCTCACGGGGTGCCGCGGTGGGCTTTCAGTAGGCCTCCTTATTTATTTATTTTGAAACCAATAGGGCCTCCTTAGCTTGCACACGGCCCAGTTTTCATCTGAATGGGGCACTAAGAGAGTAACTAGTTAACGAGCGCTCCTTCGGGAGTCTCACAACGATCAGCGTCACTTGCACACTCTCGCTCATTCGCCATGCGTCGCGTTCTGGGCGTTCTCTCTGAATTTTTTTTCGCACGCATTTTCGGCTTTTAAAACGGTTTCTTTCTGATTTTTTTGCCGTTTTGTTTTTCATCGGTCTTCCTTAGCTTTTCGATCAAAATCTTTTTTAAAAAACAATTGCGCGAAAAATATATATTTTTTTCTTTCGCGAGAGTCACGGTTTTGCTTCCACGAGAGGCATGGTTTTGCTTTTGCGAGAGTCACGGTCGTGCCTCTTGAAAACGAAAAAAACGCGTTTTCTTTTTTTCCTTTCACGAGAGTCACGGTTTTGCTTCCGTGAGAGGCACGGGTGTGCTTTTGCGAGAGCCACGGTCGTGCCTCTCGGAAACGGCAAAAAAAATGTTTTTGTTTTTTTCTTTCGCAAGAGTCACTTTTTTGCTTCCGCGAGAGGCACGATTATGTTTTAGTGAGATTCAGGGCCGTGCCTCTCGAAAACAAAAAAAGGTGTTTTTTTGTTTTTTTTCCTTTCCCGAGAGTCATGGTTTTGCTTCCGTGAGAGGCACGGTTGTGCTTTCGCGAGAGTCAAAGCCGTGCCTCGCGGAAACGAAAGTCACGATTTTTTTCCTTTCGCGAGAGTCACGATTTTGCTTCCGCGAAAGGCACTGTGGTGCTTTCGCGAGAGTCACGACCATGCCTCTCAACAATGAAAAAAGCGTGTTTTCTTTTTTTCTTTCGCGAGAGTCATGGTTTTGCTTCCGCGAGAGGCAAGACTGTGCTTTCGCGAGAGTCACGGTCATGCCTCTTCGGAAACGGAAAACGAATGTGTTTCCTCTTCTTTTTTTTCCTTTCGCGAGAGTCACGGTTTTGCTTCCGCGAGAGGTAGGGTTGTGATTTCGTGAGAAGCACGAGCGTGCCTCTTTCGGAAACGGAAAAAACCCGTGCTCCCGGTTTTTTTGTTCAGTTTTTTCATGAAAAAAGTTCGAAAAAACCTATCAACATGGGATCTAGTTTTGAAGATCTCGACGCGAGGAATCCAACAGTGAAAGCGACTCGAGATTTGGACGCACGGTTTGAGAGATAAAATATTTTGAATAAACGGATCTACGAAAAAAAGGGAAAACTCCCAGGTTGCGACAAGTGACGCGCTGCATGTGCGCCACTTGTCTCAACCTGGGGAGTTGAAGTGATCTTTGCAATGAGTACTCCTCAACTAGTGATTTTGGGGTATGAACCCCCAAAAAACTCTGAATGGGGTAATAGAATAGATATGGGGCGTGCTAAGAGATTTGCCGCCTCGCGAGCCGTGTGTTCCTCTTTCCTAATTTCATGCAATAGTACTCTTGGGTTCCCCTAACCAAGGTTTCCCTAGGTGACGAAGCGCGGTACGCCTGGCAACTCTCTGGCTCCGCCTTGCACTTGATGTGTTCGACGCATTGTCCGACCGGATGTTTTATGATTTTATTAGGGGAAATGATGGATTCCGATCCTTAGTCAGACAAGGAGTATGGACCGATGAAGTTCGGTCAAATGATTCAAGATGATTTATTCTATTCATCGGATTCACACGAAGAAGTGAACATGATCATGCTCATGAGCATGCAAGAGAAAATGGACCGGAAATGAAGCATATTCTCAACCTCAAGGGCTCAATCAAAGGGAGAAGAGTGATCAATCAGGGTAGGGTGTCTGGAGCAAAGCTACTGCACAGGGACTACTTTGCTCCCAATCCTACTTTCCTGGATGATCCATGGTTTCCTCGCCATTTTCGCATGTGGAAACTATTGTTTTTGCGCATTATGGATGGAGTGGAGGTACACGACGACTACTTCAAGCTCACAAGGGATTGCTGCGGACAACTCTCTTTCTTTGACAAATAAAAGTGCATGACTGCTTTGAGGATACTTGCACTTGGTAGTGCTGCAAATGCCGTTGGTGAGATGGTCAGCATGGGGGAGAGCACGTGCGTGAAGACTACGGTCAAGTTTTCCCACGTCGTGGTGGAGGTGTTTGGACCTGAGTATCTCAGAGAACCAAATGTGCAGAACACGGAGAAGTTGTTGGCTATTAGAGAGGCAAGGGGGTTTCCAGGAATGCTCGGATCAATTGATAACATTCATTGGCAATGGAAGAATTTCCCCAAAGGTTTGCGAAGAATGTATCAAGGTCACACCAGAGAGGCCACCGTCATATTAGAGCGCTGGCATCACATGACTTATGGATTTGGCATGCTTTCTTTGAAATGTCGGTTTCTCACAACGACATCAATGTGCTTCAACAATCTCCGGTGTTTAGGAGGCTTTGTAATTGGGAATCACCACCGTGCAACTACACCATCAACGTCCGAGACTACAACATGGGATACTATCTTGCCAATGACATCTATCCTCAGTGGGCGACGTTTGGGAAGATCATATCCGAACTGCACATGGCAATAAACAGAACCACTTTGCAACAATGCATAAAGTGGCTAGAAAGGATGTGGAGAGTGCATTTGGTGTGCTTCAAGCTTGTTGGGGAATTGTGTGTAGGCTACAATGATGTGGAAATCGGAAACTTTGTGCCAGTTGATGACACGTTGTGTTATTTTGCACAATATGATTGTCAAGGACGAGAATGATGGTGTAGTCCAAACTAATGATTTTGAAGCACCCGGAGAACAAGTTGAAATCCCGGAATATCAAGATGCAGCTCAGCTTATGAACTTTCTGCAGATGCATCAGAATCTTCCAGATCATCAGGTGCACACGCAACTACTCAATGATCTTGTGGAGCACACATGTGGACCCACAGTGAAAACCAAAAAGCTAATGTTTGAGTTGTGCACTTAAAATAAATTTTATATGGACAATATCTATGCTTGGTACCAACATTTGTTATTTACGTGCGACATTGGCTTTTATGATCGACGTGCTTGGATTTGAGAGTCTCGATTTGAGATATGTGGATGTCGGGAGAGAAATATGAGGGGTCGTCCGGATGCGTCCGCGGGCGTGCCGGGCGCGTCCGCGGACGTATAGGGGGTCGGATTTGGCAAGTCCGACTATAGATGCTCTAACATGCATATATTACTAATCTATATTACTATCTTTATAGTGGGTAATGTTATAGATGTGATAACACAGAGAGTTTCATTTATTATTTTGTAGATTCATTTTAAACCGCTATGTAATAATAACATATTATGTTACTCCATTTGCATCTTCTCTCATTAATTACTTGCCACGTCATTTTTTCCGATGTGCCATGTATGTATTTATGTTGCTCCCACTGTATTGTCATTAATTATTTACCACATCATATTTTTTGTCTATGTGCCATGCATGTACTTTTGTTACTCCAATTATGGGCAGCTTCAGAGCATCTACAGCCGGGTTCCACAAACCGGCCTCAAGCGACCTAGCCGTTCGCCCGGTCAATGACCGGTCACGATTTTTGACCCAGATGAACGTCTCAAACGGGCCTCAAACGCCTGGGCTAACCGACACCCCTCATATCTAGCCCAAATATGGGGAAAATATGGGGTGGACCAGGCATACTCGGCGCGTCCGACTAACAAGCCCGGCCTGAAGGAAATATGCCCTAGAGGCAATAATAAAGTTGTCATTTATATTTCTTTTATATCATGATAAATGTTTATTATTCATGCTAGAATTGTATTAACCGGAAACTAAGTACATGTGTGAATACATAGTGACCCTAGTATGCCTCTACTTGATTAGCTCGTTAATCAAAGATGGTTATGTTTCCTAACCATAGACATGTGTTGTCATTTGATGAACAGGATCACATCATTAGGAGAATGATTTGATGGACAAGAACCATCCGTTAGCTTAGAATTATGATCGTTATAGTTTTATTGCTACTGCTTTCTTCATGACTTATACATGTTCCTCTGACTATGATAGTATGCAACTCCCGAATACCGAAGGAACACCTTGTGCGCTATCAAACGTCACAACGTAACTGGGTGAAAGTGCAACTATCCCTAGGTGGTTTTGGTAATTCATAACAACATATAGCTCATTGAGCTAATGCTATTCCAAGACATATATTTCAGGAAAGCTCAATGAATGGCATGGCATGGATGATGAAAGTGGATCCCTCAAAATACTAAGGACAAAGGATTGGCTCAAGCTCAATAGCTCAAGACTCTTCATTTTATATTTTAGTGATCCAAGATCACATTGAGTCTATAAGAAAAGCTAATACTATCAAGGAGGGATGAGGTGTTGCTTAATGAGCCTCTTGCTTCATGTGCTTAGTGATATGCTCCAAAACCCTCAGCTACTTTCTCACATCCACAAATGACCTAAACCCAAAGCCAAAATCGGTCACACCGATTCTTCCTATCCGGCGCCACCGATTTCAAATGTCATAGCCACTGCCACAAACCCT